AATGTAATAGCAAGGGAAGAAGAAAAAGATTGGAAATTAGATGATATTATAGAAACAAGTGGTAATGATAAAATTTTATGTTTAGTAAAAAGTTCGACTCCTAATGTGAGATTTTTGATAGATCATCATAAATTAGAATATGGGCGTACTATAACTCCTAATGGAATTGAGGTAGCTAGTGAAAAATCCTTTGACATAGAGGAGGGTTGTAAATTGAAGGAATTTGGTGCTGAAGGATACGGAAAAGGAAAATATGAATATAATTCAAATGAAAGTGAGATTATAAAAACGTTATTATCTTTAAGTAGTGATATTGATGTACAAAACTTTGCAAATTTTGCATTATCATTTGGAAAAACGAAAAGTACAAGTTCTAGTAATTCTACTGAAATTAGTTCAATGTGTAATTTTACCTTTTATAACAAAGTATCTTTAAAATTATTTGAAGATTTAGAACAAATAAATTATGATCATTATCTTAAACCAACTGAAAAATTTCGTAATAAAATAGAAATGGCTATAAAATCTGCAAATCCTAGAAAAGAATTTAAGGAAATTACTAAAGAATTTGGTCGATTCATTTCAAATGAAGTTTTTTTTGGAGAAAAAATTTATTTTGAAGAAGAAAGTTTACAGGAAACTTCAAAAGAAAATGAGAGAGTGAATTTAAATAGTTCTTCAAAAGTTCTAGCAATAAAGAATGCTTTAAATTTAACTGGAAAATTTAGGCGTACTAAAAATGAATTATTTAAATTAATTGGAAGTAAGCAATCTAATAACCTTGAAGAATTTGATGAAAAGGCTTGGATTGAATCTCTAAATGATTTTGAAAATTGGGGTATTACAGAATATAAAAAACCTGTTAGCATTTTTCGACTTTTACCTTATGAATTACGTAAAAGAATCTTCGAATCTATTGGAAAGAGAATTCTTTATAATGATCCAGGAGAAGATTATATTTATCTGCAAAATGAAAAAAAAAGTTTTGAATTAAAAAATATGCCACCAAATATAGCGGATATTATTCAAAAAAAAGATGCCGAATGCAATATATTTGCTACTGTTATCGATACTGATGATTCAAAAAATAATTTCTTTAATTGTCAAATCCTTTGGTTACCAAATAAGAAACCGAGTCTCATAATCCATTGTATTCAAAATTCTAATTTTAAAAAACCAAAGTATAACCTTAAAATTGGACTGATGGTTGTCGGTTATGATATAAATTTTAATTTCATTAATTCACATTCTAATATTCACATTAAAGTAATAGAAAAAAAAATTAAGGCAACAAAATCAATGTATTGTAAAGAACTTTTTGATGATTCATTTACCAAAGATACCGAAGAACATATTTGTTTAGGAATTCCAGTACTAAGAGAATTGAACCCTTCTTTTGATTCTCTCATCATTGGCCATCATTTTTTCAATTGTCAAGAGAGTAACAGAATTGGGGCATACATATTTTCTTATTGTTTGAAGAAAAATCATTATGTTGAATTACCAGAATTTACTTTTCACACGCTCATTATCTCAAATTATCCTGATTGTAATGAATATAAAATAATACCTTTTAATTGCAAAAGTTCTTTCTTTGATAAATTATTACCTTTTAATTTTAAGAATTCTGTCATTTTACCCAATGATAATGACCCTCAACTAGTAATACCAAAATATATTAGTTTACATTCTAGTGAAGATAATTGTGCTCCGATTTTCCTAAAACAAAAGCAGAATGAAATTAAAATAAAATATATGAAAGGTATGAAAGGTAAAGAAAATTGTAAAGATACTTGCATTTGCAAAAAAACATTAATATATGATGATATAAAATTGCACTCTTTGATAACTCCCAAGGTATTTATTTCTATTTTTTTTACTTACTTTATTATATTTAATTTATATATTTATTTGTTTTGTTTTTTTATTAGGCTCTATATGAAACTGATTAGTCCAAAAATTAAACGAATATGATGTATATGATTAAAATATTTTGTTTATATATCATTTTTTTAAAAAAATATTTTTATTATTATTTATTTTTTAAGATAAAAAATTTAGGATTAGGTTTATCAATAAAAATTTATTATTTTTAATTAAAAATTTTTAAAATACGTGATGTAAGAGTATACTAAAGCAAATTTATTAACAATTTAATTTCGCAATACATACCTTGCTTCGAAATTTTTGAAGATGGTTATCAGATGAAGCTTGAGAAATAGGAGAATTTAAAAGCCGAATAATATAAATAGCACCAGGATATTGTTTTTAGTAAATTTAGGACCGATTTGTTTCGATTGTATTACCTGAAAGAAATCTTATTAATTTTCGTAATCCTCTTTTAAATATATATGTTATTTTCCGTTATATTTTCAATGTACGATAATAAACATTGTTTGCAATATTTCTGTTTGTATAAATTTGTGGCAGAATATATACCTCCACAATTATTACATTTAAGTTTTTCAATTATTAAAGAGAAAAAATAAAATCGTTACAGGACTAGATTTTAATTTTGGCGTTGAGTCAAATTTATTTTCATTCATACTAAGTTTCATTATATTATATACAAGAAACTTTAATAAAATAATGAAGATTAAATAGTGATACAGTTTATTTGCCAAATAATCATTTATGCATCTATTGGGACTTCAAAGAATATTAGTATTTTTTTTTTTAAAAAAAAAGGAGGTTCTTAAATACTGCATCGTGTTACGAAAAGTTTTAAAAATTGTGAAATATCATTGCGACTACTATCTAAAATTGGTATTACATACGCAATAGTAAAGATGTGTCACGACTGTCACGTGCTAAAGGGTATTTGCAAATCGGTTAGGTGTCTGAAATGGAGGTAGTAGGATAATCGGTACGGTACGAAATTGCAAACCTGTACGGTACAGTTGATCACCCATACAAAATTACAAAATTTGATCAACATGACCGTACCGTACCGACACTATAATAAAGAGAAAATCAGTAGTGTCCATTTTCCTAATTTTGACACCAATGTCCAAAATGTTCATTTTTGTAATTTTGACACCAATATCCAAAATGTTCATTTTTCTAATTTGGACACCAATATCCAAAATGTTCATTTTTCTAATTTGGACACCAATGTCCAAAATATTCATTTTTGTAATTTGGACACCAATGTCCAAAATGTTCATTTTTGTAATTTGGACACCAATGTCCAAAATTTTCATTTTAATAATTTGGACACCAATGTCCAAAATGTCCATTTAAAACAATAACCGTACCGTACTGTACTGGTTCTATATATAGAGAGATTATTATAGAGCCAGTACGGTATGGTACAGTTGGTTAAATTTTATGGTTGATCATTTCGTACCGTACCGTACTGGTTCTATAATAATCTCTTTATATATAGAACCAGTACGGTATGGTCCGAAATGATTATCACAAAAATTGATCAACCGTACCGTACAGGTTTGCAAATTCGTACCGTACTGGATAAATATATATTCCTGAAATGGATATACAAAGCAAAATTATTTCATACAATTCGAAAAAAGCTGATATAAGTAATTCAAAAAGAAATGTTTGAAAGGACGTTAAGCAAGAGGATAAAAATTTATTGCCATTAAATCCATGAATAGTCCTCCGCTTTGCTCTGAATGAATAACTTATTCGAATTGGATCAACATAGAAATGATTCTATATAATATTGTAATAAAAAAAAAATTGTTTTTTATTTAAAAAAAAGGAATCCTAAGAATTTACTCTAACTAATTCGGATTAGAAACAACAATTCTGCAAGATTTTCTGATTGAAAATTCAAAGACTATATATGGTTAAATTGAACAATTTCTTCATAGAATTTAATTGCTTACTAAGTTTTTTCTATACAGATAAATTTCTTGATGTTACATGAATCAATCATAAATATCAAACTAATTTCTTGTCAACGAAAGCATCGTAGTTTCATTTCAAGAAATTTTATTGTTAATAACAAACGGATGTTAACAATGTAGTCGGACCGAATGAATCAGTCATAGTCTTTTTATGAATGAAATCGATATGCTGTATATACCAAATTCATAAAAAAAAGAGAGAATAATATCAAACCTAATAGATATTAAACATAAAACGGTCTAAATCTGAATTTGTGGCGTAGCGGTGAAGTTGTCGTTATACTACGAATAGTGTTCAAAGTAAAATTTTAAAACTTTCATTGTTAACTATAGTAATCACAAAATTTAATTCAAGCCTGAGAATTTTTTCAGAACATTTCTTCATTATTGTATTCTCACATCATTGTTAGATAGTACATACATATTTGAATTACTACTATTATTATTTTCCTTTTTATTTATGTTACTGCCTAACTATAATCCCTATTATTTTTTGTGTTTGTTTTTTTTTTTATAATAAATTTATAATTTTATGGAAATAGTAATTTTACTTTGTGTAAATAATTTTGTCGAAGTATACTTACAGATAACTACCCCAGTGGCACCGACAAAATTTTGCAATCACGTGACCAATTTTATCAATCATTCCCAAAAATGGTAAGCAGATTTAACGAAAAAAATTATTATATTTTTTTTTGAATAAAACTTACTACAGATATTTTCTAATTTTAAAATTCATATATTATATCTAAATTTGCTTGCTCTGCAAGTTTACTTAGGCAATAAAGGTAGATTTTGAATACAGATTTTTGTAAAATTAATTATTTACGAATTATCATATAAAAAGTCAAAATTTATATTTTAAAACATATTTTTCTCGTCTAGGTAAATTTGCAGAGTGTTCAAAAATACACATACCATGTGAGTTTAAAAATGTATGGCATTTATATTAGGGTTGGATCAGTCTGGTCTGGTCTGGTCCAGTCCCAAAAAGACCGGTCTTTCAACCTGGACCAGACCGGACTGGGACCGGACCGATTTAAATTCAAGAAATTTTGTCCCCATGATTTTAAGACCTCTAAAACATTAAAGAACGTTGCGAAACATTTTTTAACATGTAATTTAACAAATAAACAACGTTTTGCAACGTTTTTTTAATTATTTTAATAGAAAACGTTGCGAAAACGTTTTTTATTAATAAGTTCATAAAAAAAAATGTTTTTCGCAAACGTTTTTAATTATTTTAACAAACAACGTTGCGAAAATGTTTTTATTAAGTAATTTACGTTTTGCAGCATTTTTTATTAAGTAATTTAATAAAAAAACGTTTTAGCACGTTTTTTAATTATTTTATTAATAGGAAACGTTACAAAAACGTTTTTTATTAATAATTTCACGAAAAAAAGGTTTTCGCACATTTTTTTAATAAAAAACGTTGTGAAAATGTTAAAAACTGAACTGATAATCAGTTTTGGCAAAAATCGTGCCTTAGAAGTACATGAGCACAAAAATTTGGCTCATTTTTATTGGATATTAATAATATAAGATCAGTCCCGGTCCAGACCGGTTCTCAGATCTCGGACCGAAGACCATGAAGACCGGTCCCAAGAGCGACGCAGGACCGGTCTTTGCTAGGACTGATCCAACCCTAATTTATATTGTGTTTATTATTATTTTTTTATTTTTTCGTTAAATCTGCTTACCATTTTTGGGAATGATTGACAAAATTGGTCACATGATCGTGAAATTTTGTCGGTGGCACTGGGGTAGTTCTTACAGATAAAATTGCTGCGCCATCCACTTAATATGCAATTTGCTATCATTTTATCATCCCTCAAAGAAGAAAATTTTTTATTGCATGAAATTCTAGTATTAGAGTAAAATAATTGCATCCTTTTGTTTCTAACTTTACAGTTATGTTTATGAAATGATAATTTAGAATTATTAAGTTCCTTGAGAACGACCATCTATGAATTTTAATTGGAAGAATAATGTAAATCATCGTTAGTCATCGCTAAAAGAATAAATGGTATAGCAGCAGGTGTCCAAACACAAGATTTGTTCATGCGATGATAATAAAAACTGTTAAAACAATAAAATTTATTAAAAAATTATATAGTTTTTTAGCTTTGTATTCTTGACTCTTTACGTTACCATGAATGCCACGTATAAATATAAAAGAAAAATTAAAGCAACTTCATTGGACGAAATTGGAGTTGCTTTTATTTTATAATTCTGAACCAATTTAATTGTGTACAGTATAGTGAGGATTAGGAATTCTATAATTTTAAGTATTGACTAGCAGTCAATGGACTTAAACCATTTTTATTTTATTTTTATTTTACTTTAGAAGTTGTTGCTATTAATGGATTTCAACCATTTAAATTATGCTAGTGATATAAAATGATCAACACTCATGATACAAGCTACATGTTACACAATTCAAATTAATTTATTCAGGGTGATCTAAATATCACCAAAAAATCTAAGTACGCAGTTCAATTTATTTTATTTTAAAAAAGATTGTGGTATGAAATATACAATATTAGAATATTTCAAGTCCAAAGAAAAAAGTATAGACGCAATTTGTAATCTATTTCCTTTCTCGCATTTTATGAAATAATTCCTATATTTCATCGCTAATTAGTCACATAATCATCTCAAATCAATCTGAAGTTCGTATAAATATAAACTAATTAATCCGTGAAAATAGATTATACAACCTATTTCTATTATACAAATTTTATTATTAGTCATGTTGATTGATCACATGCATTTAGTATTCCTCTTATTATTATGGAATTAACACCTTTTTATTTGTATAATAAATTTTCCAATATGTTCTCTGGATTTAATGTCTTGAATATTACTAAATATTACTAAATTCTTATAATTTTACGTTCATTTAGCAGAAAAAATATTCATCTTGACTATTGAATTTTCAAAGGCTGGTGATCAAAAAAGATCATTGGGTCTATTAATCAATATATCAAAATCCAAAAAAATATTCTATGACCGCGAAAGAGCAAAAGATAATTGAAATTGTATTATTATGATAATTATTATATTAATAAATACTGTAATTATATATACATTTCATTTAATACATGAAGTATTATTATCATTCTCTGGGCAATTAAACTAATTACAGCCCATGGTATTGCACTCATCATCAAGAAATTTATCTTTTACTATATCTCATGGCTCATGCGATTTATTTTTTGTCATGTGACAATTAACACATAATGACTTGATAGAAATTGTATTTGATCATATTTAATTTCATTTTTATGACAACGAAATTAATAACTAAAAAATTTTTTTTTGCTTTGAAAAAAAAAAGATTGAAAATAAAATAAAAAAATTTTTTAAGTATTGGAAAAAAAACTGAAAAAAAAACTAATTAAAAAAATTTTTTTTAGTTTGAACTGAAAAACCGAAAAAAAACTAATTAGAAAAATTTTTTTTTTAGTTTTGAAGTGTCAATTAATTCGAGATCCACATAGGGATTGGAATCGATTTTACAATAATCGAATTTTTGAAAATCGATAAGAATCGATTTTAAATTGATTATCGAATAAAAATTGAATTTACTTATTGTGGCGCAGTAGCGTTAATACTGTGTACCCTACAAGTATTGGTTTTATTTCGGTTGACAAAAACCTATTTGTCACTCATTATTTGTCACACAGTTAATTTCTTAATTTCTTAATGCTGGCCGTTTCGTGACATTTTGGGGTAGTCCGTTAATAAGAAGTTATGTCATTATCACGTGACATTAACAAAAATCCAAAAAAGGAAATTTTGTTGTCCGATGAAATTGTTATATTGTATAAAATTCCCAAAAAGGAAATTTTTTATGTCGATCTTAATAATTTTGATAGTCATGTGACCGGCAGTAGTATAATTTCGATTAATAATTAATCGACAATTAATCGATTATAAAATTGATTCTAATAATGATAATTGATTCCAATCCCTAGATCCATGACTCCATGTCCACAAGTCAACAGCAAATGATCTGCAGAAAATGGGAATCTGGCGTGGCGTCAAATGAAGTGCAAAATTATGTGAAAAAATTATTGTAAAAAACAAACTATTTGAAACTTTGGGATAAATATTATGTATTATTAAAATAAATTGGTGTTGAAAATTTGCACCCATATATGAATTTTTTGCAGTTGACTCATGGATCACGAATTAAAATTTTTTTTTTTGGTATTTGAAAAAAAAAGATTAAAACAAAATATTTTTTTTTTCCAGTATTGAAAAAAAAAACATTTTTTCAGGCTGAATCAATTAATTAAAAAATTGGTTGATGCTTAATAAGAAAATTTAAACATTTTTGTTACAATCTCAGATTTGGCTCATCGGCACGCGCATATGAACATGGTTTTATTTAATTCAAAATGATTATTTTAACTATAATAAATACGGAATAGATCAGGCACACGTTTCAATCATTTCATGTTGCACAATTTAGTATCCAAGTTTTTTTTAGTTATAGATATATAAATATACTAAATTTATGAAACTTTCTAACTAAACAATAATCATATTATATTATTGGATAGATTAATATATTATACTAGGAAACAGGAACCATTGTAAGTTTATTTATTTATTTATTTTATTTTATTACTAAAAGAGTGGTAAAACCCAGGCTATTACAAATAGAAGAGGAAAGAGTTCGAAAAGACTTAAGACTAATATATGTGTATAGACCTTTGTTCGTCATCCCCTACGGGACCCCACTCTTCGATCTGTACTATTTGATAAAGTAGGACTACGCTAATAAATCAAATGGGAACAATCAAAAAAAGCTAATCTAAAAAAAGAGAAGTTAGTTGATCCGTATTTTTCTCTTGGCCGAAGCCACCACCTGTAAATACTGTCATAGGCGGAATGGTTAACACTATTCTTATTGTATATACTATCATAATAGATAAAAAAGAAACATAAGAAATAGACAATGTCTATACTAAAAAATGATTCCAAAAAAAAAAAAAAAACTAATTTATAAGTATGAAGATAAGAATATTAATAAAATTATTTGGATGATCCCGCCTGCTCGGAATCAAAAGCTAAAGGAGTATCGAGACGGGAGCGTTTATATGTATCATGAGATCCGTGATTATAGTTAAACGTACGATCATCTCGTTTTAAAGGATGAGTTTCTATTTCCTTGGTGTCATCAGACGTGTACGGTTCACCAGGGCATATATTATCCATATAATCGAACACTGATCGCGTAGTATTGCGCTTTAGGGTTAAAGGAGCGGATACGTTTGGATAGTTAATCATAAAAGAATCTATTTCTGATTGTAAAAGTTTTTTCTTCTGTTTAGCTTTCTTCTTTTGATATTTCGAAAGGGTAGGACATTCAGCGTATATCATATTATTATGAAAAACATTACTCCAAACAGACAAATCCGTCGCTTGACGTTGCCGATATTTCACGTGTTTAGGACTAGTGCCATGATATATGGCCAAATTTTGAACTCGAGCGACTTCTTCTAATTGAAGCCTCGTAATTTCTTTTAAACGTTCTTCTTGTCATTGTTAATAACGAAGTTTAGCAGCCACAGATTCGGCATAAAGTTCGTCCATTCTAGCAGCAAATTTAGCATCTTCAGCTTTTTCGAGGCGTTCATCACGTGTATTTAAGTCCAATTGATACATATAAGTAAACCATTCCCTAGAACCAGGGATAATAAAAGAACCAAAATTATCATAAATAGGATCAGGCGGTATGATATCCCGATATTTAAGAGGAATAAACATATCCGGAATAGGATTATAAGGAATGACCGTATATAATAATTCATCGTTAGAAGCCGGAATAAGAGTCGAATCTGTGACAATGGAAATATTATTTGTAGTCCTTGATGCCTTGGTCGTGTTCGTATTGGCGCCAAAATAATGCGGAATAGTAAAGTTATAATCCTTTTGTTTGGGGATATCAACAGTTTTCTTATAACGTAAGTGTTTGAGAGGAGTCGTAAATTTTTGAGATGGTAAAAAAAGGAACCGTCCTTTTTTAGCTGCAGCCAGTTTCGTTAATGTACTGGAAACAGCGCCTGGTTTAATAACTTCTTGTAATAAAATACGATGACAAGAGCGTTCAAATCTCATTTGTTGCCTTTTAGCTGTCCTCGAATTTGGACTTGGAGTTGAACGGAAATTATTCATGAGTTTGTGATACATGTGAGTACGTCCAGGGTTGATTTTACGATTTGAATTACAAACAATATATCTTGAGTTATAAGAAATTCCCGTTCTTGAAGAGAAAATTGATTTCAATTCTTTATTTATCCATCGGTCAAATATCAATTTAGCATGAAGCTCTTTGTTCTGGGATTGGATCTTAGGTGTGAGATCACCATTTTCATTTCGAATAAAAGTTAACCCATCTGGATATTTCTTAAAAAAATGTAAACCACATCCATATCTATTATTAGACATAACTATAGGAGAAGGAACCTCACAACTTCAAGGTGGAATAGATAAGCCTTTCGCTTCAATTCTGTGATCGCAAGGGATAAAGATACCAAAATGAAATCTGTATCTTTTATACGAAAAATTAAAAAAGGTTTTTGTTGTTGTATTCTTATTTTTGATTTTGTATTCACGTGATTTGATAAACGTGATTCTATCTAATAATTTTTGGCGTATCATATTAAAATATTTATGTTGAATACGGCGTGGAATAACTCTTTGTGAAGAAAAAAAATGCTGAAGACCTTTGCTAATTTGATATTTGGCATTCGGTAGTGCACTTGTGGAATGATACTTAATAGGGGTAGTTGACATGAGATCATCATTTGTGTGTATCTTTAAATGAAGCTGATTGGTGTCCAAATGGTGATCAACAATCTCAAAAAAGAAACTTTTTGAACGTCTAAATTCGTAGATCTTGTTATAACCGGATTTGTGTATTCTAGTCACGTGAAATTTCTTGAAGGAAATGAGAAAAGAATTATTTTTACACGAAGGTGGTGAAAGACATAAAGGAGTGTGGACTGGTATAGTCGAGAGTAAAGTATTCTGTAGTTGTATATTTGTGTCTAAAACATTATTTTCAGCAAGTCCGTCTTCAGCAATATTACTTCTGATATCGGAAATAGCGTCCAACTGGCTATAAGATTTCAGAGACTCGTATGAAACCGAGAAAAAATCTATCTCAATAAAGTTTGAAGAAGTCATATCCCTAATATATGGGTATTAATAAGAATAAAACCTCGTACTGTGACCGAGGCGCCCTACAGGGCCTCTTATCCCTTTGGGTGTTTCAAATAGAAACTACAAAAAAAAACCTTGCGCTAAATTACTGCGGAAAACTAACAAAACTAAAAAAAGGGGAAAGAGTTTTTTTTTTCAGAACCATTGTAAGTCCAGACTCAAGAGTGAAAAACTAAAATTTGCGATTTCACCATGTGATGATCACATGGCGGACAGAGAAATTCATGTGATCGATTTTTCTTCCATAGTGTCATCCCAAGAAAAAAGCCTTGACACGTGACCATGTAAACATTCGTCACACCCTCAGTGTTTTCATTGTTTATATTTATCTGAGGGACTTAGTTTGGTAAAAACTTATTCGTCACACATTAATTGTCACCGCACCGATCACGTGACAGTGCATAATTCCGCATAATGCCGGCCACCAAGTGCTTTTTTTCTTGGGAACGCTAGGGTAGTTGTAACATATTGCTTCGCTCTGAACAATAATTGGTCCACGTTGTGGCAAAATTAGTTTATCACATATTATTTTACCGATTTTGTTGTAAAATATTTATTCTTAAATTTAGCTTACTGAATTTAAATAATAGCAGAACATGCATAAAAACACTGCATTATTTATTAAATTTTTTTTTTGTATTGAAAATTGGCGTCAAATAATTTTTTATTTTTTTTTACTAATTAAAATATTCCAAAAGATAATTTCTGTATATTAGGCACCCGTCACACACTCACACTGTCAGATTAACAGTAAAGTTTAAGTTTATAGAAATTTTATTGAATTTAATTTGACAAGTTTGCAATAATTGAATATTCGTCCAATGTTGGTTATGCCTACATTGGTTATTTTACTTAAATATATTTATAAACATATATTTTACTACGTTAAATCATTTTACTACTAGCTAATTTCTATTGTTCTTTACATGTGAAATAAGTGCGCTTAATGGTCTACTAGTATAAATTGCACTTGGATGCGAAATATTATGAGACATAGAACTTATATCTATTGTGGATAACCTAAAATATCAACAACGTTTATTATTAATAAAAATTTAATTTAAAAAAAAAAAATATATATATATATTTGATCTTAAACATATATGTACCTTTGTGTATTTGTTTCTATATCCATATCTAAATCTTTTGAAATATATTCTATATAATAGAAAAATATTAAACTTAATATAAAATCGAGAAATCTTTTAAGTAACAGTACAGTACATACCAGAAGATGATTTGATAGACGAAGATTCAAACGTGGTTAGTCTAAATTTATTATTATTAATCATAATCAAAAGTTAGATAATTTTATTTTTGTCTATATCAAATAAGTTTCATTTTATTACCTTTGAGTATTTGTTTCTATATCCATATCTAAATCTTTTGAAATATATCCTATAAGATAGAAAGATAAACTTAGTATAAAATCAAGGAATCTTTTTAAGTAATAGTACTGTACATACCAGATGATGAGTTGATAGACGAAGATCTTGAAGATTAAAAAATGGTTTGTATAAGTTTGTTAATAAAAGTTATTTATATAGAAAAAAGATCGTTATCTAAGTTCATTTCAATACCTTTGAGTATTATGACTATTATCTGTATCAAATTTACATTCTTCTGAAGTACATACTGTAAAAATAATTAGCAAATTTAATAATTATTAAATTTTACATTATTCAAATAAAAATAATACATACCTTGCTTCGAAACTCTTGAAGATGAGTTATTAGATGAAACTTGGGAAATAAGAGAACTTAAAGGCTGACTAGTATAAATAGCACTTATATCTTGTTTTTCGGTAAATTCAGGGCCAATTTGTTTCGATTCAATTAATTCTAATCGTTTATTATCAGCTTTAGCCAATATATCATCATCTTTTTTACATTTTCTATACCAATCATCAACGATGCTTTTGATTGTTGTTATGGAAGGTCGTTTTAAGGGATCAGAATACCAACACTGTTTCATCAAATTAGTAAAACACTTAGGAGCATCAGTTGTAATTTCAGGTCTTTTTGGTCTTTTTTCATCAATAATTTGGTAGATAAGATTAATGTCATGCTCAATATTGAAAAATGGTTTACGACCTGTTGTTAATTCCCACATAATCATACCCAAACTATATATGTCAGACTCTTTCGAAAATACTTCACCTCGAAATATTTCTGGTGCGACATAAGGTATTACTCCATATATTTCATTATTCGACGAATTATCTGCTGGTTGCGATAATCCTAGGTCTCCAATTACCCACTTTTTGTGATCATTTTTTAATGATAATATATTTCCGCTATGAAAATCTCGATGTATAAAATTTTCCTGATGAATAGTCTTAAGTCTAGAATAAAAAATATTAAATAATTTAATATTATTTCACATAAATGAAATTGATAGAAATATTAATAATAATATATACCCATCTGAAATTTGACATAAAATAGCTAATTTTGTGATCCATTTAATATTTATAAAATTTTTGTTTAAATAACTGTGTAAATTTCCACCACTCGCATATTCCATTATTAACATATAATCTTTTATTACAGGGTCTTGCGTAATACCATAATACTTGACAATAAAAACTGTATCATAACATCGATGAAGAGATTTCACCTAAAAAAAATCATAAATCCAATAATTAGTTTAATATGATTACGTAAATATTATAAATAAAAATAATAATTACCTCATTTAAAAAGTTTAAAAAGTATTTGCTAATATCCTGCGATTTTCGAAATCTCTTTACGGCAACAGTTGTTTTATTTAACCAAATTGCTTTATAGATAATACCAAATCCTCCTTCCGCTATTTTTTCTAAATTTTTAATTTGAGAATATGGAATCCATTCCATTGTTCGTTTTGAACCAACCTTTTTAAGTTCTCGTTCAATAAAACTATATACGCTCAAGGGATCGGAATTTTTATTCATAGTATTCTTATAATTAGCAATCTTATCATGACAATCAGTATTTGTTCTTGTAGAAATAAGAAATTCATCTATATCGTGATTTCCACTGCTAATATTTTTAAATTCAATTTTTATATTTGATATTCTTTTGCATTTTATACATTGAGTTTGATCGATAATCCCATAAATTATGTTTGTTGTCAAACAATATCTACATCCTACGTAAATTATAAAGCAATCTGAGCACCATTTTTGACAATCTGTCATAAATTTTAAGTTATGCTTACAAAATATACTTTTATTGGAAGTATCCCACCATGGTAAATAAAGAATTGGAATATTTTTACCAGTAATAGTTGATTTTATCCACCCAGAAGAAATTAAGTAACAATCGGAACACATTTTAAACCCGAAAGAAATCTTATCGATTAATTTACCACATAATTTACAGTCCTTTTCTATAAATATATATTGCGTTGTAGTATTAATATAATCATAATAATTCTTAAAATATGAAATTTCAGAACAATTTTCACACCATTCTTGAATATTTTTCGTAAAAAAATTTAAATTTCTTGTTGATTTATGTTTAATACAATGTTCATTATTCGTAAGAATATTTACATTAAAATAAATGTTATTGTCCGTTATATTTTCAATGTACGATGATAAGCATTGTTTGCAATATTTCTGTTTATATAAATTTGTGGCTGAATATTTATTTTCACAATTATTACATCTAAGTTTTTCATTATTAAAGGGAAGAAATAAAATCGGTACAGGACTAGATTTTAATTTTGGCGTTGGATCAAAGTTATTTTCATTTATAAATTCCATTATATTGATTTGACGTTTTAACCGTTGAGCCAGTTTAAATAGAAAAATATTTCGTGATTTTATAGTTTATTTACAAAGAGTCTATTAGGACTTTAAGAATTTCCATTTTTTTTTTAAGATACTGCATGTTACGAAAACAGTTTTTAAGCCACAAAAATTGTAAGCAGAATGCATGTAGCTGCAATGCAAAAAGTATCGGGCTTGACGGACTTGACTTTCCTAATGACATTATCTTACATCATCTTGATCATCATCTTTGATCCCTTTATTGTAGAATATATTATGCCAGACATTAGATTTGCATCTGAGCGTGTCACACCTGTCACATATTAGTGCATACATAAATTGTTTAAATACAGTAAAAAAAAAAAACTTAAAAATTTTGGCCATGATGTTACATTTAAAGAAACTTATGTAAAACAATGAAAATTAAGTAGCGATATTTATAATTTAATCATTTCATGCATATAAATGAAACTTAATTCGGTTTTATTATATTTATTTTTTTTTTAAAAAAAAAAAAAATTTTCTTGGGAGTAACAGGATGCATGTGACTGCGGCTAGCTGAAATGGAAATATACAAAAGGATCATTCGGGAGATAAACCACCCCACTCGGGTGATCAAAGGATATAACCTTATTATTTACGTCACAAGTGCATAGGATATATCCTTTGGTGGGCGGCCCATGGGCATTATTATATAAGTCACGTGACTTATAATTTTAACGTTAATATTTTAATGCTAATTTCAGCACATACTTATAATGCCCATAATGTCTGGCACACAATCCCAGAAAAACATGCGATGGTTTAGCGCATGTTTCCCAGAGTAACATGCGGTAACTCTGGCGCATGTTCCCAGTAACATGCGATGACTCTGGCGCATGTTCCCTAATGTAACATGCGATGACTCTGGCGCATGT